ACATAGGGATAATGCCATCAACAATAATTCTCTACTGAGCTAGCTTCTGCATACCCAGTTATACTATTTAATACAAATCAATCCCAAACATATTGTGAGAATCCCAATGTGCGTTATTTAACGTTACCAAACAGATACATGGTACTGTACAGTTTCAATGCCCAGTAAAATCTGAGCTACTGACCACACTGGGAAAAAGATGAGAAGATTTAATCTTAGGTTATGTTCCAAAGAAATGTACAGATTTGCATGGGCAAATCAGGTTTTGAAAGAAAAAATATTTAGTCATATTATTAAAAAATTATGATGTCTGATATTTACTTTTTAATGCAGCGTTTCACCAGGCAATCTGTCCCAAGATGTCAACTGAAACAAGAGAGCTAAATCAAGCTTTAGAATGTTCAAAAATAGAGAAGATTATTTTGAGTAGCTTCTAGACATCAATTATAACATAAAAAGAATGTCTGCATTAGACTTGACTACAGATTAGAGTCAAAGTACTCTGCTGTTAAAGACAGACCATCTACATGTATGTGACTGATACACAAACTCAGAAATGCCTTACCTATAAATACTATCCTTAAGATGCATGTTCTCTTTTTTCTAGGAAGAAAAACAGTATTAATGAAACATGCTCTAGAATCCACCTACTGTAGTCACTTTCAGTAAAATGGGAAGTTAGGGTAGAAATTCCTTTAATACTGAAATTGCTCCTCTGGTAACCATTCTGATCAAATTCTGATGACATGTCATGGTCATGTAAAGATGCATCTATTCCATTTTTTTTTTCTTGAAAAATACCCACAGCAGTGTAACTCAGGTAGTCAAGCAGGCTGTCTGCAGTTTTGCCTTTTTTTTTTTGTTTGAGAAGGATGTCATATTCAATGTAGATGATGCTGCCTACATAGAAAATGCTTATCACTGTTCTGTCAGGATTGTTTCCAAACTTTATTTCTCACATAAATCATTCTTCTTTTGACACCATTCTGGTAAGTGAGAACTTCAGAATGCCTTTTAAATAGATTAAGCATTTTGTTTGAACTCTTCTCAAGTGTTTTTCGACACTGGAAGTAGGACCATGAAGCAATCTTTAATAATAATAATAATCTTTAATCTTAGCCATAAATTCCTTATTCAGTGGTCTTCTGCTGGAGGTGCTACTTTTCATCTGTCACTAGGTTTGTGTAGCGGAAAAGATGACTGCCAAAAGCTACCTGAGATTAACGAAATTAGCATATGGATACTTCAACTGTAATGCAGCTTGCATTTGCAGACAAGATATACTCATCTACATACAACATACACAAATGCAGGAATTCCTGTATCACTCCCATATTTGAGAAAGATGGGAATAGAGGAGATATTTCTGGTCTTTTACAAAAGCTTTTAACAAATTCTTTAATATGTGGACTG